CTGGTCTTCCATAACACCTAAGCAGAGCCACAGGCTGAAAGCCATCGTGCCAAGCCGCATAGAGGCAACAATTGCTGCAAAAGGGGCCCAAACCAAGTACTGATTACATATGCATGCTCATACTTTTCAAAGGTCCAATGATGTTCTATGTACAATCCTTGTTTTATTGATTACATGTAATACTCTAATTTTCTGAGATTGTGGATTTGGGGTTTTCATGAGCTGTAACCCACAATCATCACAATTATGACAAATCACGGCTTGAACTATCTAGCTTTGCATGTAATGAGTCTACCTCATATATTAGTTTCACCTTTTAAGTCGCATTACTGGAATAAATGAACTTTTGCACGATATTCTAATTTTTCGAGTTTCACCTGTAATTAATGGCAGAATTACAAAGGGTGCACAATTTTATTTTTTATTTCAACATAAAATCATCTCTGCAAGGTCTTTAAAATGGATATTTTTTTGGCTTGTACTATCACTGCTCAATGAAACTAATGCTGTTCTTTACTTCTGACAAATGACAGGCCGATTTATTCTACAAGCAGCAGTGGAAACCTCTTACAATGTTGATTGGAAATTAAACTTATTTGTACCATAAAATATTTCAAATTTGATTGCAGCTAAATGTATTTATTAGAAATAAATGGACCCACATTCAGCAGTTTTCTAAAAAATATAAACTACAGCATTGTTAGGTGTTATTACCTTTGCTTCTGGGTTAGCTGCCAGTATTTTGGCACCACACTCAACTGAAGCATAATTATTTCTATTTTTTTGGACCTTTTTCGTAATATGTTGACCTCCATTGGAAGAAAGATGCATTGACTGACCTGCAGACCAGACAAAAATGTACCAGAGAATTAATATGAAACCTTTTATATTTTTATTACCAAACTCTGAAGCTAAAGCAACTCATAAAAATTAACTTTCTTTGATATTAATAATTTATCAACAGTAATTTCCATACCATATTATCAGCTACCTGTAATTATTCTGAAGTCTCTTTTATTTTAACTACATGTTAATAACATATTAGTATTAACAGGTATAATATGAAGTGATGATACTATATAAAAGGATTTATAAAATCTCAATTGTTATTTAAAGCTATTACACAGACTAAGGTATTGCAATAAACGGACCGTTTTTTGCTTGTTTTTGCCCCACCCCACCCCACCCCCAGGAGCACTTTGCAAGCCCCCCCCCAAAGCTATTCATGCCTTTTTTGGGGGGGGGGAAAACGGGCCAAGTACTGATCGCCTTATAGAAAGATTCCATGAAAAAAAAATCCAAACAAGCCCAGGGGGAGGATGTAGCCTTGGATCCTATATTTGTACTCAAATTGTTTTTGCTTCGCACAGGTTGCTTTTGGAAAGTAAGGCGAGCCGGATTTCAACTCTCCATGTTGTCATTGGGACAGAATGAGTGGGAGTACATTCCACGTATACTGTCGGGATCTCAGATTTCTGCTGCTGGTTGGGAGGGGTGTATCTATTGGGTAACGTGANCAGCGATGTGGCAATAGGGGTGGTCCTGCTTCAGACAAATGAGCACGACCAATTACAACCATGTGCTTACACATCCAAAAAGTTGAATGAAACTGAGCAATGGTGGGCCATTTGGGAGAAAGAAACTTATGCAGTATGGTGGGCGCTTTTAACCTGGAGGCATTTCCTAGAGGGGAGTAAGATCCCTTTTGAAGTCTGGATGGATCATAAAAATTTAGAAGCCCTAAAGATCCCAAGGAAATTCTCCCCAAAACAAGAATGATGGGCTCAGTACTTTAAACAGTTTGAGTTTACAGTCAAATATCTTCCTGGGGGAAAAAACTTTCTGGCAGATGCACTATCCAGAAAACCACAATACAATAGTACGAAGCCAGACATAATCAAATCCCTAGTACAAAACAATCAATTAGCCGTTAAAGTAATCACTAGATGCAAGGCAAAACAAGAAACATTGACGAACAATGACACCACCCAAACTTTTAAACAAGCTATAGCCACCAATAAATGGTTTTTGAGCCATAAATCTAGCTGCCTGATGAAAGATAACTTAGCTTGGTGGGAGGGAAGTTGTATCCAGCTAGCCAAAGACTGCGCTTAATGGCAAGGTGCCACAACTCCAAATTAGCTGGACACTTTGGTTTGTGAAAACTTTACACCTAATTAAAAGACAATTTTGGTGGCCATCACTAAAAAAAGGACCTAGAGAGCTATGTAGCTAGCTGCCCCATTTGTTCAGCAGAAAAAGACATCAGGGGAAACCCCCAGGACCTTTACAGAAGGTAGCTGAACCTTCAGCACCTCAGAGAGAGAGTGCTATGGACTTTATTGTTGAACTACCAGAAAGTGCGGGGAATAATGTTATTTGGGTTGTAATAGACCTGTTTTCAAAAAAGGCACATTTTATACCTTGCCAAACAATCCCAACTACCAAAAGTCTAGCCAAGTTATTCGTGATACACATTTATCGTCTTCATGGAATCCCACAGACAATCATTTCCGGCAGAATTTTGGAGGGCATTTTTAAACTTACTTGGCACCGCCCAGGGGTGAGCTCTTTGCAACACGTGCCGACTAACGGTCAGTGTGAGAGAACTAACTTGGTACTAGAACAATATCTAAGATGTTTTATGAATTTTCAACAGGATAACTGGACTGAACATTTACCTTTTGAGGAAGTAGCATTCAATAACTTGTACACTCAAGTACTGGTTTTATCCCTTTTAGAGTAGCAAGAGGCCAAGATTTCAGCCCTATGCCTGAACTACCCACAGAAGAACCCACGATTCTGTCATTTAAGGAGTGGATGGATACCTTAGAAAACACATTGCAAGTAGTTAGATTAGCTTTAAAGGAAACTAGAGGGCTTTTAAAATTCAAGCTGACAAGAAAAGAATGGAACCCAAACCTTTTCATGTTGGAGATAGAGTATACTTATCTACAAAATTCCTGAAATCATTACAGCCATTGAAGAAATTAGGGCCAAATTTCATTGGACTTTTCCCTATCGTTAGGCTCATCAATCCAGTAACTGTAGAAGTACTCCTTCCAAAGACACTCAGACTAGTCCACCCAATATTTCACATTAGTTTACTCAAACGAGAGGTAATCTCATCACTCAGACCACCTGCACCTATACCAACTGTTCCCATAATGATAGAAGGTGAACAACACTTTGAAATCAAGGAAATCCTTAACACTAGGATCCACCGGGGGAAACCCCAATAATTAGTTGCTTGAAAGCATCTACACTCATCCCAAAATGAATGTGCCACAAAACACCACGTTAGGGGCCCTACCTTACTGAAAAAGATTCACTCCCAATACCGTAACAAACCTTGTTAAAATACTATGATGGAATTTTTGTTTCTATCTTTTCATAAACGGATCTCTCCTTTTTCTAAGGAAGGCAGCATGTGCGATCCCTAAAAGTGATACTGCCATTCAATTTGGAGAAGGGGGGCTTCTGGATTCTATTTATTGGCAGTGCCTGTGACAACTGATATTTTACAACATGTTTCCTGGCGCTGAAGCACCCTGAGATCTCCTCATCTTTTGGGGAATGTTTATGATGGCCATGTGGGATGGTTCACTTTAATGTTTAACAGAAGATAGCCATGGGAATGTATGCTTATCCGGTTCTCAGGGCAGCTGGTAAAGGAACTAACTTCACATGTGTATTGGCTAAAATCTGCATTCTGATTAATGGGAGGGGTCTCTACTGCTTTAATTTTACTTGCCTTGCCTAAGGGGATTCAGACGTTGCTTTGAACTCATTGTTTTGACTTCTGCTTAATAAAAGCTTCATTTTGAAATACTTCAATCTCTAATATAGGTTATGAGCCATATCCAATCAGACTCACGTCAACTCTTCCTCCAATGCTGCTTCAGACTTCTCTTCTGCTGTTTTATTTTCCAGATCTCCTTGCTAAGCCAAGGTGCACCCTCAGTTGGTACACAAAGTGGCTGCATAGGGGTGATATGGTCCAAGATCCAAGTCATCTGCCTATTTCAACAAGCTACTAGAAGCTCAAATGAACTGCCCACCAGATCCTTACAGAAGACTCCAAGCTCCTTCTGGAATCCCACTGGGTCCAACAATGGGCTGGAGTGGTTTTTGCCTTCTCTTAAGAGAAAGGAGGAAAGAAAAAAACTGTCAATGCCAAAGATCAGTAGGAAACCATCACCATTAGGATAGCCCATTCTTCAGAATTAACTTGTGATAGTGAGTATAAGTATCAAGAACTTGATTTTCCCTTGCTAATAAATAGCAGATGTCAAGGGAATGGAATGAAAGAAGCCACCAATAATAGCAATATTGAAATTTCTAGCCTAATATTCTAGATATCAATAGAATCTATGCAATGAATGAGTCAAATAAATGGGTTTCCTTTTATGAGGTTGCCAGTATTTTTAAAATCAAGATTAAACAACAAATATAAATAAATAAATCACTTCATTCATCTTGGGAACAACACAGTAGTTGCATTTTCAAAGGACTTTGAAAAAGTGAGGTCTTAACTGTTTTCTAACCTACTAACTGAGACAAGGCCATCTTTTTTTAGGAGGGGGGATAAGCTGTTATGCAGAACAACTGCCACCATAAGTGTTTTATTTCTGAGTTCCAAGTTGCTGACATTCACTAGGTGGAAGTACCTGTAAATGCCATCCATTTTATTTTCTTATTGTAGTGGCAGAATTCTCTTTAACAGTTTTGCAGATACAAATACCTAGCTGTAAGATAATAGTCAACAACTTAGACTTCATCCAGAAGCCAAATAAAATCCATGAAGCTTCTACAATATAGATAGCAAATGATAAAACAGGTAGAAATTGTTAATAGGTGAACTACAACATTCTGGACTAAATTAGTTTCCAAATATTTTTCAGTGGCAGCTTTGTAACAATCTAGTCAAGAGATAATGAACTTTGTAGTAATCTAGCAAGAGATCACAGGGAATGAGTGACAATCAATAAAACCTTCTGTTCCAGGAGTAATCACAACTACCCAAAGATTCTTTTTTCATTCTGCCTACTATCATAGCTGACATGATTCGACTCTCATGAGTCGAGACTGTACAGCTGCTCTGTAATAGGAAAGCCACCAATCAGTCAAAGATGGTATTCCACCAGAGAGATGGCTTCTGGAGGAAGAGTCATTCTACTGTGCCACGACTCAGCCTTAACCCACACAGATCTTCCTAGCCTCAGACACTATTATAAGAATACAAATCCAGCTGCTGAATGCAGGTGGCTCAGAAGGATACTATAGTAGATGGCACTGAACACTAGTCACCAACTCCTCCCCTCTCCCCTCTCCACCATTCAAATCTCTCTTGTTATCATCAATAAGCATTATCAGGTTTTAGCCCTGTATTTTGAATACTGACTAAAAAGGGCCCATAATCAGTTTCAATCTATATGCACACATATGTTCACACAGCACAAGCAATATACATTTAGCATTCAAATATAAAGGAGGTTTCTAAAAACTGAGAGTGAATGATGTGTATTCAAGTCACAGAAAAGCAATTATCAAAGTATGAGAAAAAGAACTGGTGATAGGAAGAGATTAAGAAGAAATCCACTGATGGATGACAAATGCTCATTTTTGAAATATATAAGCAGAATTTGAATAACTGCCCATCAAGACTACTAGAATCATATAGTATAAACTCTAACACTATAAACTAGATACATAATACTATAAACATACTATAAACACAATTCCTATGGAAGGTTTATATGATGATCTAAATCAGGAGTATCAAACTCAAGGCCTGCAGGCAGAATCTGGCCCACAGGGTGCTTAAATCTGGCCCGCA